AGCTCACTAAAACAACGATGGCTCCATTTTCAGCCCATACTCGCCTGAGTTCTATGTATTAGTTAGCTGAGGGTTTAGGGGTGGGCGGTGCCTTTGGCTGCTGTCCTCAGGCAGCCTCTGTTCTCCTGTGGCAATGACCAATTTGTCCAGGAGGAAGTGGCATTCATTGTATTTCCTTAGCTGTGAAGGGAAGGGGTAGTGTCCTCTGTGGCAGGATCGTGACTTCCCTGGTTTGTTTTTCCTCAAGTAGACATCTTCCAGCCTTCAAATTGGTCCTACCCTAAGAGTGGTATAGCCATTGAGCAAGAGAATCCCAATGGGAGACAAACCTTATCCCTTCAGTTTTGATTATTAGATCACTACCCAAATCAAAAAAAAAATCTATTAAGGTAGATTCTATTTTTATTTATTTATATTTTAATTTATGTGTATGGGTGTTTTGCCTGCATGTATGTGGACCATATGTTTGCCTGATACCTGAGGAGGGACTTGGATCCCAAGAACTGGAGTTATAGATAGTTGTGAGCTGCAGTGTGGGGGCTGGAAATTAAACCCAGGTCCCCTGGAAGAGCTGCTGTTGCTCTTAACTGCTGAGCCATCTCTCCAGCTCCCTAAGGTGTGCTTTGGAGTAGACAAAGCCTCCTAGTTCTAAGCGAGGAGCATTCCAATCCCCCTGCACGAATTCTTGCACTGCTGATTTAAACGTAAGGTCGATGGGTAAACAAAACAGGGACAGCCCAGTTATGTTTCAGTCTCACCCAAACAAGTAACCTTTTAGCACAGGTGGGCCCCAATGTTACTTTAGACATACTTATAACTTAAATGTTTTCGTTGTTTACTTGATGCCCAAATTTGATGAGGTAGCCTTTATTTGTATTCACTAAATCTGACAACTCACAATAGCAATGAAAGTACTTGCTAGTTGGATGTTACTCACTGCTCCCCTCTCCCAACCTACCCAACAGAGTCTCTAGCCTAGGCTGACCTCCCTAGGTGGCTGAGGATAACCTTGAACTTCTATCTCTGCCTCCTGAGTACTGAAGTCTCAGGCATGGTACCCTGTATGTGGTTTATGTGGGTGCTGGGGACAGAACTTGGGATTTCATGCTGCCAGACAAGTGCTCCTCCCACTGACCTGTATTCCTAGTCCTTTGTTTTCCTTTTAATCAACAGCATGGAGTCTGGAGCCAGCTTGTCTAGATGGGGAAGCAGATCTGCAATTTCTTGGCCTGTTGTCTTTGAGAAGGCTTTAAATTTTCTTTTCTTATAGCAACACAAGCTTCACAAGAGCCATGGGCATGAAGGGCTGGGGATATTGCCCAGGGGTGAGAGCTTGCCTAACTAGAATCATGGGATTGTTGTTCACATACCGCATAGTATGTCTGTGTTCATTCAGTTTTGTCACCAATTATGAAGTCTTGGCAACAGTGTCACAGGCATCTTTCTTTCTTTTTTTTTAAGATTTTATTTATTTATTTATTTATTTATTTATTTATTATGTATACAACATTCTGCTTCCATGTATATCTGCACATCAGAAGAGGGCACCAGATCTCATAACGGATGGTTGTGAGCCACCATGTGGTTGCTGGGAATTGAACTCAGGACCTCTGGAAGAGCAGTGGGTGCTCTTAACCTCTGAGCCATCTCTCCAACCCCACAGGCATCTTTCTTAAACAATTAAAATTAAGTAATTTAGAAAACATTTAATCACTTCCCTTTCTCTACTATTAAGCTTTTCATTTTTCAGCTTGGAAGGTCTTTCTGGTCAGTAACAAGTGAAGTAAAAAAGCAATGGAGTCAGTGTGTGTGTGTGTGTGTGTGTGTGTAAATTACATGACATATCCATACCCCTTTATATTGTCTATTAATGATTCCACATCTCATCTAAGGGCTAAGTTGTCGCCTGCATTATGATCTTGGAGATATCAATGTGTGTGTCTAAGAACTTGAGTTGAAGGAATGGCATCTAGGTGCTGATTGCTGTCCATTGATTATTTCATTTAATTTCCATTGCAAGGCTGTTAACTAAGTAGGTCTTGGTTTATCCCCATCATCCATTAACGACAGCTTAGAGATATGTTCTATACAGTCTGGAAAAATGATCTATAATATCTGTGCTTTCAGTTTTGAATGAGTGAATTTATTAAGCCTGTAGCAAGTAAGAGTAAAATAGTGAGGGGGGATAGATAGATGGATGGACAGTTGGATAGATAGATGATAGATGAATGGATAGATAGATGATAGATAGATAGATAGATAGATAGATAGATAGATAGACAGACAGACAGACAGATAGATATAGATAGATAGATATAAACAGACATATGTCATCAAATCAGGTACTCAAAACATCCATCAGAAATCAACTGGGGAAGCCTCATTAAAGCAGTCAGCTGGTGTTCTTGATTGAGAAACTCCCAGGCTGAGTGAATTATCGCCTGGGTGAAGCTTCCAAGGAAAAGAATAAGTAGAAGCAGACAGAGATGGTATCATCAAACCAGGAGCGCACAGCATCCATCAAAAACTGACTGGGGAAGTTGAGGTAGTTGGCTATAGTTCCCAATTGAGCTTCCTCTTCCCCATGGTAATCACTTTTATATCAATGGTGATCACTATTGGAAATAGTTTACCAGCTAGCTATACCCAGCAGCACAGTGAGTTTACTCTTGGGCTGTTTTGCTGTGTCCTCTCCCTTGTCACACATGTATGGGTACCAACCCAGCAACCCATTCTTTAATAAGGGGTCTTTGAGGACACTTGACATATACATGCTTGTGTCTAAAACCAGGGTAGGGGACCCAGAGCCAGCTTCTGAGTTCAAACAACACATGACACTTACCAGTATAATGTTCGGGGTGAGAATAGAACAGAGCTTGGGGATTGAGCCAGCTCCCTGTTATATATCCCTGGAATAGAAATGGCTCCCCAGGAAGGAAACTCACAGCTTTGTGTTTGTTTGTTTTTGAGACAGGGTTTCTCTGTATCTTTGGCTGTCCTGGAACTCACTTAGTAGGCCAGGCTGGCCTCGAACTCACAGAGATCCACCTGCCTCTGCCTCCCAAGTGCTGGGATTAAAGGTGTGTGCCACCACTGCCCCCGAGAAATCTCACACTTTTATATCCCTTGTTTATTTAAAACTGTTTGTTTGCAAATAAATTTAGTTTCAGTGATTTATTTGTTAAAATGAAGATATTTCGAATTCAGTGATTAGATTGAGTTTTGAGTGGGGCACAGTTGTTCACACCTGTAGATCCCAGTAGTCGGGAGGCTGAAGCAGGAAAATCACATGAACCCAAAAGGTGGAGACCAGCCTAAGTAGCATAGCAAGAGACACTACCTCAGAAACAAGAAAAACAACAAAAACCCAAGGGGGTGGTGGTGGAGGTGACTAGTTTTTTATGATTTTCTTCCCTCAGTGGGGACAAGATGCTTAATTTATTTTCTTTGTTCGCTGCTGGATTCCCAGCACCTACAAGTGCCTGGTGTGTTGTAAGCAACCAACACAAAGCGGTTGATTGTTGAATGAGTAAAGGGAAGAGGGTGGGCAATCTAATAACATCCTCTTACTTGAATGCATTAAAATGTATAAAACTGGGTTGGAGAGATAGCCCAGTGGACCCGAGTTCAAATCCCCTAGCATCCGTGAGAAAAGCTGGATATGGCTGCACATGCCTGTAACATCAGCACTGTGTCTGGCAGAGACAGAAGGACATTTGGGGCTTCCTGGTGTCCAGCCTAGCTCCAGGTTCAATAAGAGACCCTGGTCCGAGGGAATAAGCAGAGAGTGACAGGAAGACACCCAGCTGCCTTCTCTGGCTTCTTCACATGCATAGGTCGTGGGTACAGACACTGTGCATATTCCAGATCCACACACCACTTCAAACACACATATACAAAGTGAGACTTTAAGGGGAGCTAAAGAGATGGCTCAATGGGTAAAAGTATTTGCAAAGTCTGAAAGACCTGAGTTCGATTCCCGGAACCTACATAAAAGTTGGACGCAGATTGAAGTGCCAGCACCACAGGAACCTCAAGAGAGAACCTGCCTCAAGAAGGTGGGAGGGGAGGACCAGCTCCAGGAAGTTCTCTGGCCTCCATACAAATATGGTAGACCCTTCCCACCCTACATAAAATAATTAAAAAACAATATTGTTACAAAAAATAAAACTTGGCCGGGTGTTGGTGGCGCGGGACTTTAATCCCAGCACTCGGGAGGCAGAGGCAGGGGGATCTCTGTGAGTTCGAGGCCAGCCTGGTCTACAGTGTGAGTCCCAGGACAGCCAAGGCTACACAGAGAAACCCAGTCTTGAAACAAAAACAAAACCCCAAAACTTTCCATCCAGTGCATACTTCCTCTCAGAGAATCCTTCCTGGGTCCCCAAATAATACCATTCTCCTCTAAACCGTACCTATGTGGGATTGTTATTTTCTGCTCAGAATGTAAATGGGTAAAAGTAATGAGATGTTGATCACTTTGAGAATTAGAACCCCGGTAAGGTTGGTACCTCTCGTTTCCCTAAGCTTCAGGGTCCCTCTATTTGTTAAATGGGGAAACTAATGTGTGGTTCAACTACCCCAGAGGTACACATTCCTGGGGAAGCAGAACATCTCATTTCAGGAGAGGGGCGAGAACTGACCTGGTTTACCCTGTGGTGGGTGTGTGTGTGTGTGTGTGTGTGTGTGTGTGTGTGTGTGTGTGTGTGTTGGACCCTAGCTCTCCATGCTGCTAGTCTGAAATGCATGTGCTTTAGTTTATGTAGAATAATGATTGATTCTTTTTGCAGCACCTTGATAATGAACCTCATTACTGTTCCTGGGGAGGAGTAAGACCTGAGCTAATTGAATAACTGCTTTTGCTTTTATAGTGTTTGTAAAGTGTCCACACTGCCTTTCCTTCCATCCAGCAGCTCCTTACATGTTCTGTAACATCTGTTGACTGACTGGAAAACATGTTTCTATGAAGGTGAACAATGGACCTTAACCAGGTTGCAACTCAGACATACATAGGGTCTGTATTAATCTCCGTCAACCCTTTCAAGCAGATGCCATACTTTGGAGAAAAGGAAATTGAAATGTACCAAGGAGCGGTAAGTTATGTACTCAACAAGTTGCTGTAGTGTTTAGGGATTTTGTCATTTATTCATAGTTTTTCTTGAAGTTAGCAAAGCATTTGCATTTTCTTATGAATTATATTGGGGGAAGTCAAATAAGTGACATTGTTTGATTTTTTTTTTAAATTGGAGGCTGATCTTCAACATGTAGCTCAAAGGCATATAGACTAATGTGTGGGTTAATTTACATATAGAATTTGTTAAGTGGGCTGCAATACCCAGAGTTTGGGGTGGTCTTCTGCCTTCCACATGTGCTTCAGAGTTCTAAGTAACACAGAGGCACCATAGGCACAAGCATGAGGGCCTGAGTTCACAGGCCAGAACCCAGGTGGAAATACAATACATAGTAGTGTGTGCTTGTAATCTCAGCACTGAGGAGTGGCAGATAGGAGGGTCCCTGGGGCTCACTGTCCAGTCTAGCCTAGTGATGAGCTCCAGGCCAGTGAGAGACCCTGTCCCAAAGGAGTTGAACTCCCTTCCTGATAGTAACACCCAAAGTTGTTCTCTGTCCTCCACACGAAATTGTGAACACACATGCTGTGCAAGCGAGTGAGTGAGCACGAGTGCTCGCGTGCACACACACACACACACACACACACACACACACACACACCTAAAAAAGTCAGCCAGGTAGTGGTGGCACACTCCTTTAATCCCAGGAGGCAGAGGCAGGCTGATCTCTGTGAGTTGAGGCCAACCTGGTCTACAAAGATCTGGGACAGCCAGGGCTACACAGTGAAATCCTGCCTCAAAAAGCCTAAACAAACAAATAAACAAATAAAGCCAGTCATAGGTAAACAATAAATGAGATGCTGGTAACTTTGAGAATTAGAACCCTTGGTGAGCTTTGGCCATGGCTTGAAAGCGAATCCTTCATTACTTCATTTATTAATGTGACAACTCTCCATTCAGACCCACCCCACAGTCATTTCATCTGTGGGTTAAAAGCAAAACCAGCAATCCTTGCCAACCTGTCTTATTCTGCAGTTCATCACACCCCTCAGCCCTAGACCTCTGCGTGTCCTTCCTTCCTTCCTTCCTTCCTTCCTTCCTTCCTTCCTTCCTTCCTTGCTTCTTTCCTTGCTTCTTTCTTTCTTCACAGCAGAAGTACAGAGCCTTTATGAATCCTGGCCCCTGGAAGCCAAACAAAAGAACACATAAATCCCATTGAAGGCTTTTACCCAGAGCGAGTGTGCACCCCATTGTTGCCGGATGAATGCTGCTGGTAGCCGGAGCCCAAGGAGGCTGCCACGAGAGACCTTTGATAATGCTGCCTTTATGGGGGGGGGTACAAGGACCTTGCCCTAGTACCCCAGTCCATGATCCTGGGGCAGCTGGCATGGAGCTGGGCTGACTCCCCCTCCCCCAATAACAGCAAGGCTTCAACATGAAGAGCTCACACAAACACAAACACACGAGCACACACAAGCACAGATCTATGTTTCTTTCTCATTCTCTGAAGAGTCACCGTGTGCCAGCCCCCTTATACATTGTTTATCTTTTCAAGAGTTCTCAGTATAGAAATGTCATAAAAGAAAAAAAAGTTTTTTCATTGTTCATGGTAACACTGTTATATAATTGGTTTTTACTGAGTATTAGGTACTGTATGTGCTTGCAACAATACTAAAACAGTCCATATGACTGCTGCATTACATTATCCACCCTACTTCACAGAGGAGGAGGAAGCTGCTGCCCAAGGGAGCAGTATCTACCCGAAGCTATTGAGCTAGGAGTTAAACTAGAGTCTTAATGGCTTTGGGGGGTCTCCACTGAGAGATAGGAGTATCAAAGGAGATGACTACTCAATGCTCCATAGGCACCCAGCTCAGAGGCTTGGTGAAACTCAAGATGGGAAACCCAGCTGAATGTATAGGACTCCAGAGATGGGGCTCTAGCTCGATTGGCAGAATGATTGCCTGTTATGCACAAAATGTGGGATCCCACCCCCCAACACTGAATAAACCAGGCCTGGTACAATGTAGTTCAATGTCATCCTCAGCTACATAGGGAGATGGAGGCCAATCTGAAACTCATGAGACCCTGTCTAGGGGTGGGAGGAGTATAAATGACCCTCATTAAGCAGTTTTGGAACCTTAGTGGGAAAGGCTTGGGTCCTAGTCAGGATTTCATTGCTATGATGAACACCATGACCAAAAGCGAGTTAGGGAGGAAAGGGTTTATTTGGCTTCCACTTCTACATTATAGTCCATCACTGAAGGAAGTCAGGACAGGAACTCAAACAGGCTTGGAATCTGAAGGCACATGCTGATGCAGAGGCCACGGAGGGGTGTTGCTTACTGGCTTGCTCCCCTGGCTTGCTCAGCCTGCTTTCTTATAGAACCCAGAACTCACCAGCCCAGGGATGACTCTTCCCACAATGGACCAGGCCTCCCACTTCAGTCACTAATAAAGAAAATGCTCTCCAAGCTTGCCTGCAGCCCAATCTATAGAGGCATTTTCTCAGTTGGGGTTCCTTCTTCTCAGTGACTCTAGCCTGTGTCAAGTTGACATAACGCTAGCCAGCACAGTTTGTCTTCTCTTTTCCCTCCACCACTCAGCATTCTCTCCACTCCCCCGTTTCTAGTCTTCACCCTCTTTTCTTCCCTACAGTATTCTGCTTGCCTGTTTTCAAAGAGTCATTCCACATAGTTCTGATTCAGTGGTCTGTGTAGAAGAAGCCCACCGGAGACCATGTCCTGAGGTCCCAGCAGGCCTCCTGCTGTCACCGTGAAGGCAGGCTTAACATAACCTCGACCCCTGTCAGGAGTTCTGCATTCCCAAGGATAGCCCCCCACTCATACTAGGTGGTTCCCTATGGGTGGGGACACATGAGTACTTTGCTTATACGCAGTGTCTCACCCACTCCCCCCATTCCCTTTTACCACTGAACCACTGAGGTTCAGTCTTTAGAGCTTGGCAGTAAATAGCAGGTCCTTAGCCAGCCCTTCTTCCTTCAGTCCTTCACTATATAAGAAAATATAAAAATGTTTTAAGCGAATTGTTTCTCATACTATTTTTTAATTATTTTATTTATTTATTATGTATACAACATTCTGCTTCCATGTATATCAGCACACCAGAAGAGGGCACCAGATCTCATAATGGATGGTTGTGAGCCACCATGTGGTTGCTGGGAATTGAACTCAGGACCTCTAGAAGAGCAGTCAGTGCTCTTAACCTCTGAGCCATCTCTCCAGCCCTTTCTTATACTATTGTATATCTTTTATCTTTTAAAATTACTGTCCTGGTCATCTTCACACTTACCTTGTGAGACCCTCAGAGACAGGACAGTGTGTCGTCACCCTAGATTCAGCTCCAAGGCCTCAAGTTTATCGAGTCTTATTTTCTCCATTCCAGCACCACATGAAGCATTTTTGTTTTTGCTTTAAAAATATTTTCTTACATTTTTCTGTTTACTTGTGTGGCCACAGTGGTCTGCATGTGGATGTCAGAGAACAACTTGCAGAAGTCCCTAAATTCTAGGGTTCCAGGTATATGCCACTGTGCTAGCTCTTTTTGTTCATTTTTGAGGGTTTGGTGAAAGCTGGTATCTAGCAACTGAAGAAACGGGGCTGGGATCAGCTGACAGAATGAGGTCAGTCAGGGGGCACAATTTGATTGTTGGACCTTTTTTCCAATTTAATTTTGTTCTGTGTGTATGAGCCATCTGTTTGCTTGTGTGTGTGGGCACCACCATGTGCATGTAGTGCCTGAAGAGGCCAGAGGAGGGTATCAGATACCCTGGAACTGGAGTTCTAGAAGGTTGTGAGCCACCATGTGGGTGCTGGGAATCAAACCTGCGACCTCTGGAAGAGTAGCCAGTGTTCTTAACCACTGAGCCATCTCTTCAGTCTCTAGTTTTTTAAATCTGTCCAAAGCTAAAGACCCTCTCACATACCCAGGAAACTCTCTTATTGTAGTGTGTCACCTGCAGCCCTCCACCTTAAAAAGGAAACAAACTAACCAAATAGTTCATTCCTATGAGGAACCACATCCCTTGCCATCTTCTTGGGGAAAACTTGTAAGTTTCCTTCCTCATCCATAGATATACCCCTTAGTCCCCAGTGAGACCGGAGCATAGCAACTTGCCTCTCAGAGAGGAAAAAAAATACCATCAGCATTTAGAATTCTGGTCGAAGTGATACCCAAATCTTGGCAGACCCTTTTTTTTTTTTTTAAAGATTTTATTTATTTATTTATTATGTATATAACATTCTGCTTCCATGTATATCTGCACACCAGAAGAGGGCACCAGATCTCATAAGGCATGGTTGTGAGCCACCATGTGGTTGCTGGGAATTGAACTCAGGACCTTTGGAAGAGCAGTCGGTAATCTTAACCTCTGAGCCATCTCTCCAGCCCAGCAGACCCTTTTCTAATAGTTGCCAAGTGTCTCCAGAATTCAGAAGCAGAATGTCCTTGCAAAGGCATGTCTGGGTGGAAGGGTGGTGTACCTGGGTCATGTCTGACAGCTGAATCACAGGCATACCTATGGAGGAGTCCTTCCAAACTCCACCTTCGCTTCCCCAGCATGTAGCAGACCATGACAGTAGGACATTTTTATGAACCACTGATTCACGAAATCTTTGCCTGTAAATGCTGAACACTGCAGCTGTGTGCCATGGCGTCATTGATCAGTCCACACAAAGAAACTTAACTTTAGTTAAGTTACTAACTTGGCTTAGGTTAGTTAACTTGGTTTAGTTTTGGTTTCTGTTTTTGCTCTCCTAGGCGCAGTATGAGAACCCGCCTCATATCTATGCCCTCGCCGACAGCATGTACAGAAACATGATCATCGACAGAGAGAACCAGTGCGTCATCATCAGGTAGGAGAAAGACCCAGGTCAGCAAGCCTCTATCTAGCCCTGAGCTGTCGGAGCAGCCACTCAGCAAGACGGAGGAGCCAGCAGGCTTCTGCTTGGTTTATTTTGTAATTGTCCCTTGTCCAATGCCAGCTCATAAACGCCTTCAGGGGAGGAGCTCTTGAGGCCCACCCCTCGGTTAATGATTGCTGGGGGAGGGGAGGCATTGTCTTCAAAGGTGTAGCCTCTGGCAAATCACTGAAAAGAAACAAATAAGTGAAAGTACAAGGGGAACTGATTGTGGACAGGAATGACATCAGCAGGAGTGAGAGTGCATGCTGGCTGGTTTGTAACAATTTGAAGGAACTAGAGTCACCTAAGGAAAGGGAATCTCAATGGAGAACTGCTTCCTGTATATTGGTCTGCAGGCAGGTCTGGGAGAATCTTCTTAGCTGGTAATTGATGAGGGAGGGCCCACATAAGAAAGCAAGCTGAGCAAGCCACAGGAGCAAGCCACTAAGCTGTGTTCCTGTTCCATGGTCTCTGCTTCAGTTCCTGCCTCCAGGTTCCTGCCCCAACTGTAAAGTGTTTTGGTTAGTGTTTTATCACAGTAACAAAAAGCCAACGAGGACAGAGACAAGAGAGGGTAGTGAGGGAGCCGGTGGTGGCGGCGCAAGCCTTTAATCCCAGCACTCGGGAGGATCTCTGTGAGTTCGACACCAGCCTGGTCTACAAGAGCTAGTTCAAGGACAGCTTCTAAAGCCAAAGAGAAACCCTGCCTTGAACCCCCCCTCCCCCAAAAGAAGAGAGGGTAGTGAGGGAGGATATGATCAAAATATGTTATATCCGTGTATGAAAATTTCATAATGAAACCCACTGGGACATATAATTAACAAATGCTAATAAAAACATCTTAAAAACTTTCTGCTTCACCGGGTCGTGGTGGCACACGCCTTTAATCCCAGCACTCTGGAGGCAGAGGGAGGCAGATCTGAGTTTGAGGCCAGCCTGGTCTACAGAGCAAGTTCCAGGCCAGCCAGGGCTGGAAACCCTGGCTCGAAGAAGAGAGAAAAAAAAAAAAAAAAAGCTTTCTGCTTCTATGGGGTTGCTGTTAGCCCTCAGTTGTTCCAGGCACTAAGGCTTTAGAGAGCATGGTAACAAGACAGGTTGTTTGAGATAAATGATGTCATCCTTGTGGGTCTGGGTGACATTTGCAAGAATTTCCCTGTGCCTGTAAGTTGGAGATCCTCTACATCTAAGCATAACAATTGTGAATCACTGTAGGTAGCATCTGCTGCAATTCCTTTCCCAGGCCCCACTCTTTTATCCTTTAGCAAGGAAATAGTTCAGGTTTGAATGTCTGTGTTTGTGTGTTTTGTTTTTAAGAATTTATCATTTGCATCGAAGTTTTTAGGATATTAGTAGCAACTCCCAGCATTAGGTATCTTCACCTATACTTCACAATCCATGTAACCTGAACTGTCCCCAAATGGTGGCTGGGTTTAATTGCTTTAAAATTCATTCACTATTGTGAATACTTTCTACATTAGAAAGTGAAGCATCCATATTCCTATCACTTAATGGTTTTGTTCAAAACCACGTTTATATTCGTCCTTTTTTTGCGTGTGTCTGAATTTTAAAATTTATTTTATTTTATTTTTTTGTGACAGTTTCATGTAGTCCAGGCTGGCCTCAAACTCAGTATTATATTAAGGATAGCCTAGAACTTCTGATCTTCTTACCTCATCCTCCCAGTGCAGGCTGGCATTACACTGGGTTTTTGAAATGCTGGGGCTGGAACCCACATGCATGCCAGGCAAGCACTCCAGCTGAGCTGCACCCCAGCCCCTGAAGTCTTTTTGAAAGAGCTACTTGTGATGATATTCACAAACACACTCAAAATTAGACAAAGTGTGATATGCCCTTTGTATCCCTCCTTCATTCTGTTTGGTTATCAATATGTGGCCAGTCCTCCTTATTTACCTTTCCCTCTTAGCCCCCTTGGTTATCTAAAACAAATCCTAGAGAGCAAATCTTTTCATTTGCCAATAATTAGTATATAACTTTAAAAGAAAATTCTTAGTGCCTCTGTGCCGGCACGTGCACCCGTGTGTGTGTGTGTGTGTGTGTGTGTGTGTGTGTGTGTGTGTGTGTGTGTGTGTTGCATATGTAGAAGTCAGAGGACAACGTGTAAGAGTCGCTGGTGCTGGGATTCAGGTCATCAAGCTTGGCAGCTGTCATCTTGACCCACGGAGGCATCTCTGTTTGTTTTTCCAGTGAGGGCTCTGGAAATGGAATTCAGGCCCTTGTTGCATGGATTTTACTGACTGAGCCCTTTTCTCAGCTCCAGATAATTCTTATCACACCTTAAAAATAAATCCTTCCTGGTTTGGGAGCAATTACTTAGCATGTCCAAGACTTTAGGTCTGGTTCCCAACACTGCTGCACAAATGAAAAAGGGAATCCTGTTATTATTTGATCTGCTCCGTACTCCAATGATGGGACTGAGTTACACACTCTTTTCAGCAGCTGGCTTGTTTGCATTTAGAAGCCAAACAAAGCCCACACACCATCACCCCTGGTTGCTGTGTCGCTCAAGTCTCCTAGTTGCTGAGCCATCTCCTTCATTCATTCTGTTTTTCTTGGCATTCATTTGTTAAAGAGAAGGGCTGTAGGCCTATCTGTGCTCTGGCTGACTGTGTCCTGCTGTGATGCCAACACCTCCAACCATACTCTTTATTTCCTGTTGTCATAGTTACTTGTCTCCTTGTTAAGACAAAATACCTGACAATAGGCATTTATAGATTGTCATTTGGAGGTCATTTTCATTGTAAGCATAATAGTCATGTGTTTGTTTTTATTTGGGGGTTTACTTTGGCTCACAGTTTTAGGAGACAGTCCATTTGGACTCGAGAGAAATGAATGCTAGTGTCCATCATGATTTCTCCTTTTTATTCAGTCCAAGACCCCAGCCCCTGGGGCCCCCACATTCTGGGTGGATCTTCCTGCCTCAGTTACTCCAATCTAGAAACTTCTTCCCAGGCACAGTTTGGTTCCTGGGTGATTCTAGGTCCTGTCAAGTTGACAGTTGATGTTAATGACCACAGATATAAATTGATAGTATGTTTCAAAGCATGGCCAGATGCAGATTCAATTTTTGCAAAAACACCTGTTATGCAATGAACTTCATTCCTGTTGGTCTCTCTTTATTCGATGTTCAGAATGCCAAGAGACCCATCCGTTTCATGACCATTGCTTAATTAATTAAAGTTATTTTCTCATTCTGTTATTTCTTTTACATGTGCTAGTTGGACTTTTTTTTATTGATGTTAAAATATAATCTTTATGGGAAAACTAGATAAAATGCCTACTCATTGTCTTTTCTCCTCACTTTTCAAAGTAATGAGTTGTTGCCCTGGCAACCTCTGAAGGTAGCGTGTATTTATTTTCAGTATCACTTCTAACTAGTGAGTCTAAAATAGCTTCCCTGTTTACATTGCAGTTATCCCTTTAGTGTCTCAGATAATCTCCCTTCTCCTTTGTCTTGGCCTCCATGTCCTCTGACACATCTCAAGTCCCCTTGGATCATTTCCTTGGTGCAAATGGTCCAAGTTCATCTTGTTCATGTCCTCCTGAGGCCTGGAACTGTCCTTTCTCCAAGGGGTCCTTGTTTCATGGACTGGGACATGATATTTAGACACCACTGTTCTGGGTACCACCTGTCAGTGTTTCTATTCTCTGCAGTGGACAAAGCTAAGGAATTTAAATTTTTAAAAACGATGAGGCATGAGTTTATTTCTGCTATTTCTAGCTTCTTTTTAAGGTTATAGAGAATTGTTTGTTTTAATTTATTATTACTATCATTACTATTTTGTGTGCATGAGTATTTTGTCTGAATGTATGTTTGTGCTCCATGTGTGTGCAGATTATAGCATTTTAAAATACCTTTTTTATATTCATAACTTGTCTCTCTTCTACTAAAAAGTCTTGGTCTCTGATGACAGACATAATTACTTGCTTTATGCTGTATGCATTATAAACATGTGTATATGAATATATACATACGTACACATGTATTTAAAATACATGACACCAATATTATTGTAACACCAACAATAATAATGCAAATTAGTAGCAATACCAAATACATTTTAAAATTTCTTTTTGTTCTTTTGGTCCATATATCCAATATTTTCATCCAAATATTAGGTAAATATAAATTTATATATGTAATAAAGATAAATTAGTTAGATGTAAATAAAGACTTATTCATTTTTATTTTATGCATATGAATATTTTGCCTGGATGTATGTCTGTGTACTACATGTGTGTCCAGTGCCCATGGAAGCCAGAAGATTGCATTGGATGCCCTGGGACTGGAGTTATAGATGGTTGTGAAAGACCCTATGGGTCCTGGGAGTAGAAGCTGGGTCCTCTGCAAGAGCAGCCAGTGCTCTTAATGGCAGAGCCATCTCTCTAGCCCCCAAATACTGGATTTTAAAAGTCAGCTAATTTAATATTTTTCTATGCTCTTCATGTGTCAAGGGGTTGGGTTATTTACACTCTTAATTGTCGTGGTTTAAAATTGTAAACATTACGCCTATCATTGACTTATTTGGGTTTTTTGAGGAAGGGTCCTGCTGAGTAGCTTGTGCTGGTTCCAGTCCCCCTGCCTCCTCTACCGCTGCGTGCCATCACACCTGACTTAAGATCCGAGAATTCGGTTTCTTACCACCTTCTAAAGCACTTACATGGTACAAAATGAAAACAGAAGCTTTTTGAGGTAAATGCAGGTCCCCACGGTTTCAGGATGAAGAGAGACTCAATGACATTTTACCCCAGGTGTCTGCATGTCTCTGGGACCATTATCCCAACCAGAGAACTAGCAACCCTTCATTCTCCAGTGTCTCTGAAGCCCCGAAGCCTGCGTTCAGTCTCTCAGTTGTCACCAGCTTGCTCTTTCCTGGTGCTTTATGCAAATTGAGGGAGGATAGTTGTATTTTTTATGAATCCTGAGTTTATTT